TGGTACGGTCAGGTGATACTGGTCAGCGGATGCCCTGTTTTGATAGCTGTCAATTGATCACAACATTGATGTGCAATTAGTTTTCTCTTGGGTTCCCAAACTACCTAAAAGTGTGAGAGTAAACATTGGTTTTCCTGTGGTGCGGACGGACGGTCGGCGGGCGATCGGTGTACGGTCACGTGATTACCAAATTTTCTCGGATGGGTAGATTTACCTAGCTATGGGGCTCCGCCCACGCGCGCGCGAAGCGCGCACGTGGAGCTCCGCTCTTATTATTATTTAACTCTTCCCAAACAAAACAAACCAGTCGCCCACCTACACCAATTTAATCGGACACCCCGAAATATAATTTTATGTTATAAAGGCCGGTTAAAAGACACGATAGGCCTCGGTGGCAGTCATTTTACTTGTTAAAATTTATCGGTTGCATTCCTCTGTCTAAAAGGGAGGCCAAAATGAAAAAATCATGCCGGATTTTTTGTGTTCGACACAATTACTTTACAAAATCTTGCCGACAAATCTGGTTGCGTTTAAACCAGCCTTTTATACTTTTTATACATCACATCTGAGGTAAACAGTACTATAATCGCTGTTTGCTTATCGTACAGACCTCGGAGAATTATCTTTTGCCCTATTTAATTAAAAGTTCCAGGCCCTGGGGAGTTTTGAGCTTCACGCAACGATTTTTTCAAATCTAGTGAAAATGGCGCTTCCGTCGGGAAGAATTTTGTCGCGGCTTTTGCGAAGAATGAAAGCTTTTATCGACGAATTTCGACCAAATACAAGTCAAGCAAATTATTTTAGAGGATTCTGGAGGATAACAAGCGAAATAAACGCGAAAATAGAGGTAATAAAACAGTAAGAATCTTTGCTTCAAATTCGCCGAGTAGGCCATAGTCTGGCACAAATTCTGTTGAAACGCAGTGAAATCCGTCCCGCGGAGCTTTTTGCCTTCAAAGCCTTGCTTATTTTGATGACTTATATCAGTGAATTTATGTTTGCTAGTTTTTAACCCGATATTTCACCGAGAAACTAAAAAATAAAGCGTCTTTCGAAGGTAAATATCGGGCCACAAAGTGACGCTATAGTATCTAGTTTCGCTATGCTAATTAGCTCTGACCTCATTTGCATAATCCGATAGGGTCACAAAATAAATTTGTAGAAAATTGTTTGTCGCTTTATATTTTCGACCGATATTCGGGCTGTTTTACTTAGATATTGAAGAAAAAAACTTATTTGTACTGTACTACATAAAATATACAACTTTTCTGGCAAAATTACACTATTAAATTTTTTTAAAAATAATTATCTAGAAATATGCCTTGTTTATTTTTTTTGTGCAGAATATTATGGTTTCCCTGAGACCGAAATATTTTTTTTCTGAAAGTTTAATTTTTGCCCTTTCCAATGAGGTATAGCTTGATATGGAACTGTAAATAACAGAAGAGATATAATTTTTTAAAGTTGCATGGTCAAAAATACTTAAAATACGTTGTGACAGTTTTTCACAATTTTGCAAGACAAATTGCACTCATTCAATATTCCAGACGATCCACGCGCTTCCCTTGCACAATAAATTATAGAATTGACCACATTATAGAACGTTTTCATGAAGAGAATTCCAAAAATGTCGGGACTGTTCAATCAAATCAATCTGCTCCTTTGCAGTATGCCGGGTATTAATGGGCTTTTAGCAGAAAATTTCGAATACTTTTCAAAATCACCCATAGGGCCAGCCGGTTCTGACTTTTGACAAGCGCCAAATTTGCAGTGCCAGCTGACAAGTGTTTGAATGAACAGTAATAGAGTTACGTTTTTTTATTATGTGTAATCTTTAGAAGCGTTTGATACGCGTGGCATTTTGAGTACTCCTGCATACGATGTTCACCTACGACTGAAAACAACCGGCACAGCGATTAAAATTGGGCTCGTTGCGGGCACATAATTTACTCGACTTGTTACAATAATGCACCACTGGCCATGAAACATGGATCATGCATCATTTTTCTCTGAAGCAACCTCAATTGAAATAGGTTTATATAAATCCCGGTTGCCATATACCAAACAACAATTTACGAAAGGTGCTCAGAGGAACATAACCGACTTTTTGAAGCCTTCAGTAACTAAATATAGCATAAAGATCTTTTCTATTCCATGTTGTACTCTAGTTAAAGTTTACTGCACTTGCAAACTAGTGAAAGACGCCTTCAGAATTGTGCTTTATGTTACACCCTTTTACATGCAGCATTGCGCTGTAGCTTGTAGCATTGCGCTGAAGCTACTGAAAGACAGTGTCTTTGTACTGTGCATTAATAACTTTCAGTGCCGTTTAACGATGAGTATGAGCCTGGTTTTAGCTACTGAACACTTAAAACTGTAAGTGGAATCCTAAAAGTGACGTCATCATAGTGACCTCTTTGTTACGGACACCTCTCTAATGCGGACACAATTGCTCTGTTCCTTCGGTGTCCATATTAAAGAGGTTCGACTGTATGAAATAACAAAACTCGGCCATAATATTTTAAATTAAACTGATATGAATGTTTGTTAAAGCTTTTAAAAAAGATAGCAAATATTGTGATATAGCCCCTTTTAGATGTATTCTTATTGTATGTCAGTAACATCCAGTTCCATCGCAAAAAATTGATGAAGATTCTGTGATTGAGTCAAAAGCTTGTGTATGCAAATAGGTTTTCTATTCTAGGATTTGAAGTGTGGCAAAAAATGTTTTATGGATGCGTTTACAGTATTGTTCTCAACAGTCATATATATTTTTGTCTTGTACTTAGAAAATCCAAAGAAGGCTGGCGACCCTTGAGACTATGCCTTGGTCAGAGGACAAAAAAGTACAAATTGAGCGTGCAATTGGAAGCCTTGAATACACCAGCTCTGATGAGTCAGACTTTTCAGGGAGTGAAAATGGAGTCCAGAAACTCTCAGGATACCTTGTGAAAAAAAAACACCCTGGGAGAGATCAGCACTTACTAGAGTTAAAAGAAGCCTCGATGATGCTGCTCTTGAAAGGCTCACTCCTAGGGCAAGGGCAAACTTTTTGCCAAGGAGAGGGCATACGCGACTTACTCCTGTGGGTTTGACATCAAGTGGTGCACAACCAGTCAGCATTACACGACCAAAAAAGAAGGCATGTCGAATGGCAACTTCGCCAGAATTTTAGACACTGAACGTTTCCTTAATAACTATAATTATAGATGCCATAAAATGTCTCTTTCTTTAACTATTGAGGCAATCAAACAGTTTAGTTTGCAAACTAAATTTTACACATACTCTTGTCATACTTATAACTTTCATTGAAATAAAATATTTAAAGTTTTCTTGAGATTTAAAGCTTTTCCCCGAATGTGTGGGAAATGTAATTGAATTGAAAGTATTGAATTGTCACTTTTGGCACATTTAAAGTTCTGCTAATGGTTAGAAAATAACAGTTTCATCAAAAGCAATTTATCACTTTCAGTTACAGCAAGGAGCCCAAAAGTGTGGCAGCTTTTGATTTATTCACATTCTTCCATGCAGATTTAATCCAATCAGAAGCAAGTTGGAAACTATCCTCGACTGTGTGTTGAAGTGTTGTTACATATTAGGGTATTTCATTTAATTTGTGTCGAAACTTGAATTGAGAATTACTCATACAATTATTTGTAATGTATATATGAGTAATCCTCCATGGCTCCAGATTGTAAATACTATGGAGAGATCATGGGGAACCAAAGAGAAAAACCGGTATTAAGTACACAACAAAAATCCGATGTTTGTGTGGAAAATTCAGGTATTTGACATGGAGAAAAATAAAATATTCAGTTGATTGTTAAAAGTCTGGTAAGAAAAATTTACCGATTACCATTATATTTACCGGTATTTTTAAAGTTTCCAGTGTGTTTATGTGTATATATATATATATTTGGCGAAAAGGAGCTTGTTATTTTGCTTTACATAATCTTAAAGTAGGGTTTACACAAGCTTTACGAAAAACGTAAAGGTGTTGCGTAAAGTTTTTGTTTCATTACGCCAGCTTTATATGTACACGTAAAGGTGCTGTAAAGCTGAACTTTACGTAGAGTAAAGGAAGCGTAAAGTTGTGTAAAATTCAACTATACGCTCACTTTACGCTGTCATTACGCTCACCTAAATTTGATTTTTCATGCTGTGTAACAATCAAGACAAGAAATGCAACTCGGTGAAACATTTAAAGAGACAACTTTCATTTACGAATAATTGAGAGTGAAGTGTCTGTGAAAATCCTAACTTATGTATAAAACCTTGCAGATTTATGTTTAAGCCGGCTTCCCGTGTTTGCTATTTTCCAAGATGAACTCCGGGCAAGAAAATTGCGCAAAGCTTTCTTTTTCCAACCAAAATTATGACTAAATATTCTTCAGAACGTCTTCTTTCTAGAATTTGCGGTGCGAAAATGTCTAAAGGCTTTTAAAGTTCTGTATATCAAACCTGATACTAGGTCAGATCACTGCTTACAAACGCGCATAAATTAGCCGCATAAACTACGCTCGACTTCATGATAACAGAAAAAAAAAACATCGACTTCAGTAATTACTAATGCTTACCAGTCGAGATACTGCTCCTGAATGCCATCAAGTAAGGCAACAATCGTTTGAGTCTTTTCAACCCTCTCAAGCATCAAGCAAGGTGAGGTAGAGTAAGCTCATTTTTGGAAACGATGCCTTCCGAAATCGGATTTCCGATATCTTCGACAAGAGGCGCATTTCTCAACCAAAAATCCAATAAACAAACCAGCCATGAATAACAGAAGAATCTTGATAGCAGCTATATTTCATTTTCTACATCCAGTGGTTTAAAACATCATATGATGACACAAAACTCTGTCAGCTTCAGCTAACATTAAACAAGTTTCCACACGCCGCATAAATTTTCTTCATGAACTCACCTGTCAAATTTTGACCAATCCGAGATAAAAATGGGACGTAGAGCGTGACCAATGTCAGGGTTATGGGTTCCTGCTAACGCGTGACCATGCTAGGCAAATAATAATGATGATGATAATAATAATAATAATAATAATAATAATAATAATAATAATAATAATAATAAAAGTTTAGACAGCATGACCATTTCAGTTATAAAAACTGCTTTCAATTTGGGTCCTGTATAAAAAATAAATGAATAAATAAATAAAAACGTAATTAAAAAAACTGTATACGAACTATATTGAACTTGAGCCTGCAAGAGAAGTAGCAAGATCGCAAGGTAAAAGCGATACGAAAAACAGTGGAATCGACATAACAAACGTTCCCTTATAGGTATGGTTAATTAAGAGTATGGAAAGAATGACGGAGAAGCCGACAGAGCATCCCAAGAAAAATGCTTACTTTACCCTTGATACACACTTGGCTGAAATGTGCTGCAGCAGCGGGCACCGCATAAAAACTATCATAGGAAAACTGATTTAGAGGAAAATCTTACCCGGTAAGTAAATTGCTCGCCATGCATCACCTCGGGAATAATAAAGTGAGTTTTTTTCTAAAAGAAAAAGTGGCAGTAAAGATCAAAGGAAAGGAAGGGCTTAGGGAGCTTTGCGAAGACCTACAGGCTTGCTTCTTAAAGCAATCTTAACTTGATGTTGTGCAACATTTCACAATGACGATAATTCGTTAAATCAAAGCTTGAATTTTTGCTTCTTCCATCTAACGACGTTTATACATGGGTTATATTACTGTCCTTTTCACCCACTGAAATGCCCGAAAGCATACTCTTTTCACGCTTAACAGACATGCATAATGAATGTCTCTTTACTATGTGAGGACTACTACGGGTCCTAAAACAGTACCGTGTGGAACTCCACTAGCTTCCTTCCGCTTCTAATAATAATAATAAAGTGAGGATGGCAGCCACTCTACGCGTGTAGAGGTATTCCTTCATGGAAAGGAGTAAACCAATAACTACTCTCAATCAGAGATCTGTTAGAGGTTACATTTGTACGCTGTTTAGACTACGTTTAATTCAGATACTGATTTTATTTCAACGGCAAAATAAAACTTATTTTAAATACTTACAGTTTCGTTCACTACCATTTTTCGATTGCCAACTTGATAAGAAAACTGATACCCCGTCAGTCTCTTGTTAAATATTGGTTCATCCCAAGAAATGTTTACACCAAAGCCATTCCCTTTTGGCGAAGGGTTTAATCGGTTTCCTTTGAAATGAACGTATAGTTCTGTCCGATTTATACCTAAAAAGAAAGAATTGTAATTAGATTGATGTCAACTTTTCAAGGTGTTTTTTCTCTAAAGTCAGTTAAAGTTAACAATACTGAACGACCCCTCACCCTACCGCCATTAGAAACTTGCTCAAGGAATTCCCTTCATTAAACTGCATTAATTGTACAGAATAGCCGACATCTCGTACACGGTTAAAAAGTGAAATAAGGTTTCCCGTCATTTTCAAGGTTCACCTTAAGTAATAGCTATTTTGGCTCTCCAAATGCTTGGATAAAAAAATGAAAAATTAATATTATACAAAGTGCCGGCTCAGTGTGTCTTATATATTGTATTACATGGGAGTTAGTTTAAAGTTCACTAACCAGGTATTGTAAACTTTATGAGCCTGTCGACTCTCCCACTCCTTCCCGTCCTGCTCGAACTGGAAAACGGCCTGACCTGTACAGAATCATACTTCGGGTGAGATACACAAACAAAGGCCTGGCGCTGTATTTATGTATGTATATATCAGTGTATGTATGTAAGTATGTGTGTGTGAATAAAATGCGAGTATGTTTGTATGTAGGAAGCGTGTGACACCCTCCTACATCGCATATTTTGACATTTTGACATTTGAGATTTTGACACGAGGAACGGTTTTTCTGGAAGAGAGCGAGGTAGTTGGCGGACTGCTGAGGTATTTAAAAAGATACGTACAGGCTCTCCACTTCTCTCTTCCGGCCATTTTTTCGCTACTCGCCGGCTTTAATCGCTCTTCTGCACTGAAAACCGAGAGCCTGACATAGGCTACTGTAAATAAAATTAGTTTTAACTATTTTTTCTTAAAAGAATACGATGAGAGTATTGGGTGTCTACACGAGTGCTAGCAAACCCAAACAGCCAGTTGAAGCATTAAATGAGAATAATGTACTCGTAGGCAAGATATCACCAACTCACACTAAGACACACCCAACGAAACAAGAAATGATAAAACTATGACGCTAAAGAAAAAATGATAAAACAACTAGAACGTAGACGTTACTACATTATTAAGAGCCAATGCCGGAAAATATCGAGAGTCTCAAATCAGTTCTAAAAAGTCGAATTTTGGCTAATACCACCCAAACAACCCTTTAGGTGAACTATTTCAAGAAATGATATTAAGAAATCCTCAAGCGCTTTACATTTTGAGAAATTTGGAAAAGTTCAAAAATCCGATAAAAATGCATTTTTTTATTCGCGAAATTACTGCAAATTTCAACAATTTTCAAGAAAGCAGTACAAGCGCGCAAAAGCTCCTATTGGCTTGATGTTGCACATGCATTTACCAGTTACACAAAGCTTTAAGACTGAATAAAAATGTCTCGCAAAATAACTTTTGTAATATAGTTTTGGGTTTGCACCTTGATTGAGTGCTTTTTTGGCGGTCGAAATAACGCCCAACTTTAACCGTGGTTTTTTTTCAAATTTCAAATATGATTATACTATATGAAAGAACTGTGATTCTTTTAACTAGACCTGAAGTTTCAGCTCTGCGAATTTAAACTCTTGCCAAAAATAAAATTTTAAATATAGCCCCTCGGGCCATCGTAAACGACAAGAACGTGAAATGTAAACGAAGCAGAAACCGCGTAAACAAAGGAGAAATCACACCAAAGTTATTTCTAGCCCATCAAAGCGCAAGGAAATGATAGAAATTTCGGTATCTAAATAGGTATTGCTATCTGAAAAGCTAAAAAGGCGAAATAGAAGTTATCTTTTAATTTGTCCAACGCTGGATCTTCATTGATGCGGTTATGCTGTGTACCTCCAGGGCATTCAGACGCCTCGTTCGCATTTTAAAAGGAGGGATAAATTCGGATTGACAAGGATACTCCCCGCTAACACAGAATGCAAAAATTGCCTTCAACAAGAGTCGAAAAACTGCACAACATTTTTTCCACACGCCTTCAGAGTTAAAGGTGATAGTATGTCACGTGTACCCTGTGGAAGATTGCGTGAAGGGGCTCCAGGGTAATTCATTCAAATTACCATACACGTAACATGACACCAAGTTACACCTCTCTTTTAGGAACCAACCTTTTTACAAATCAGCGGAATGTTGAAATTTCAGTTATTTGCTAGTTTTTAAGTCATGTTATGAAAGTGCGCTGCAGGACCTTGCGTCACGAGAAAAAAAATGGACACTGAAAGGTAACTTTGTAAAAATCCAGGACGCGCGTTTTAAACTCATTTTGTAGGAGGGTCTCAATGGGGTTAACCGATAGGCGTAAAACGGTCAAATAGTAGATAGTTGAAAAATTGAAAAATTTCAACCCTTAACCGTAAATAGGGTAAAAAAGAGTTGACCGTAAAAGAAAGTGTTCCCTAGATTTTTTAATTTTAAGGAAGGTGCTAGACTCACTTATGGTTGCGTTTTTTATTTCCCGACTACTTTGACTCCGTACGCACGTTAGACCAAGTGCCTTTTAGGTGTTGACCTAGCTAGACCTAGGCTCCATTTCCGCCGCTCTCTCGGGAAAACTATTTTTTTGCATAGCGAAAAACTGGCTTCTTGCTGGGGATTAATGTTTGCGATTGCCATGCCTAGTCCCTGTACGGCGTCTTCCAATGGAATCTCGGTCAAGGTATTTCGGTGGCGCATCAGAGAAAAGAAAAAACTCGCTCGGACCACGTGTCCCGGAATGCATTAGCCGTGCGGAACAATGAGGCCTACGGACAAGGCAACGGCAGAGAGGCCTTCTGTATAGTCCTTCGCTATCATTAAAAACACTGGACACGGGAATTTTGTTATTGGCCGTTTTCACATTAGAGCTAGAAATGGATTATCCGTCTGAGACTAGCCTGTATACAGTCGCCCCCTCCCCCACAGACATCCCTTCTCCGATTTTTTCGGCTGTACACAGGCTATCTGAAACGGATAATCCATCTCCTACCCTGCGAGCAGAGGCTACATTTTCGCTGTGTGAGCTGTCGTGCGAAAAGTAGCCTCTGCCGACAACCGTTCAAATCCGTCCAGAAATCTGGACGAATAAATTAAAAAAACGGGGTTTTTTCTGTTCTTGACCGGTTTAAGGCATTGCGTGAGTCTTGCATGAGTCTTGCGCAGCAGATCAGAGCTAACGCATTTTTTTTTATTCCCGCGAAACTCGCACCATTTGACGACAGCCCTGACGATTAATTTTGCTTGCGAATCGCGTGACAAATTTCGCGCATGCACGATAGAAAATTGAACGGTTGTCGTCAGAGGCTACTTTTCGCACGCCAGCTCACACAGCGAAAATGTAGCCTCTGCTCGCAAGGTATCCATCTCCAAACTGTCCGTCAAAATTGACGGATAAAGTTAGGTGGATTATATTCAAAATTAGTACCATTCCATTATCAAATTAAGACGTATTACCTATCTGGCGCGAATTATTAAACGGATAACCCGTCTCACACGAATAATCCGTCTCTAGTGTGAAAACGGCCATTTCTGGTATAAATGAATGTCGCGCCCCGGCCTTGAGTTGGGCGTTCGCCTGTATGCTTTTGCTTTTTGACAAAGATTATTTTTAAATTGACTATTAACATTTCTTTGCGCAAAATATTATATAGATTTAGCCAGGGCTAAAATCGAAGCTCTCGATAATATTCATAGTTTGTTCAAACTAAATATAAAATCGTGTAATGCTAAGCGGCGAAGGCCGGAGAACGGTGAAAAACAACAATAGGTCTAATTAGCAAAAAAGCAACTTTGCACGTGCAGCACACTTTTTTTGTACATTTCTTTGCCGTTGTTTTGCACGGCTACAACGTGAAACTTCCATAAATTCCTTAGTTACAAGTTTTATGGAGGAAATGTCGTACTTGTTCTGGTCACTTTTTTTAATTTTCACTGCCGCTCATTTTCACCTTGCATTGGTGGCCGCTAGCATTTCTCATTTTGTCACCGCCGCTACAAAATTTTCATTTTTTTCTTCCAACAAAAAATGTCTCCTTTGTTTTTTATCTCTCGCTCTAGATCTCTGTCGCCCTTTTTCTTGTTGAGCTTCGCTGGCCTGCCGCCCACTTTCTCTTTTTCTCTGTCTTTTTCTTGCTCTATATTCCGAATTTGTGGACATAACAATTAATCTAAGCTTAATACTTTACACAACACGGATACAAAAACAATTTCCGCTTTCCGTTTTCGTCTTTATTGACACTTAAGTTGTCTCTGCTTTACAAGACGCCGGTGGCTATGCTATTCCCGCCAAAATAACCTCGAGTTGCATTTGGGTTACCATACCTGTTGATTGAACTATTTTACATTGCTATGCCTGTGGTAGGGACGGACGGTCGTGCGGGAGGGCGGGAGTACTGTCACGTGATTACCAAAATGTCTCAAATGGGTAGATTACTTCATTTTCTTACCAGGTGATCTGGGAGTGAATCATTAGCCAATCAGCTTTGAGTATAATTTTATTTCAAAGCCGCACACAATTCTTTGCGCGCCTAGAGCTTGTTCGTACGAACCCAGGCACGAACCTGCAGCGTTGTCGCGTGGTGGAAAATGGTACCGTTGTTTACATTCGAAGGCTTTTCCAGAGAAAGATTTGGCAGAGAGCGGAGTTAAGATTGACAACTGAGTCTTTTAATAACTGTTGACTTGTTAAAACGAGCAGCTAGAGAAGGATTGGATCTTACGGTAATCAATCTTACGACAGACGAGTGAGAGTTTTAATTGATCGACTTCTGTACTCTCTCGCGGAAGAGCTGGTTAAATTTCCTTTCTATTCCTGCATACATTTTAGTACCAAACTCGGCATTGTTTGACAAAGGGAGTGCAGTCAATAGACGCAAACAAGCTAGCTGTCCTGCCCTAACTAACGTTGGATCCTGGAGAACAGGATATCGGTCCTCAAGAATTTGTTGGTCGTACAACACGTTATCGTAAACTGTGGCGAGTCCGCGATTTATTGCCTTCTTTAGAGACGGAACTTTTGAGAGTACTTCTTGCAGCTTGGCTGTTACAGGTTCTCTTCTACCGACCATGACTAGTTCTATTCTGTTTGGCGAGCTTCCTTCTTCTACGTGCATATTTTCCTCCGTCCATTTCCCACGTCCTGTCTTGTTCCTTGGTGTGAACCTTCTTTTCAAACTTCGGCCTCGACTTAACATCCATCACTATCGAATTCTCGCGAACTTCTAAACCAATGACATCCGTGAAGTGTAATATATAGATTTAGCCAGGGCTAAAAGCGAAGCTCCCGTTAATAAATTCATAATTTAAATCAAACAATAATTAAATCAAAAAATAATTTGACAGTCCAAGAGTGAAACAAATTTTACATCGAGTTATTAAATAGTCTTATTTGTACACCCAAAAATAGCAATCATGTTCGATCACAGTAGATTAGGCCTGTAAACAAATAGACCTAGTCGTGTATTGTATTTGCATTAGCTGTTGCATCATAATGTGGCATTCACCAGTCTCTCCCACATTGCTTCGTTAGAGAGACTATGGATAATTGGACAAGTTCGACAAGTTTAGTTTACTAGTAAATCTTGGCGACGAATCTGGTGGCGTGTAAACCAGCCTTTTAAACATACTTTTTCTCATCACGCCTCAGGTAAACAGTACTCTGAGGCCCTTTTTTTTATCATAGAGACCTCGGACAGAATTTGTTCTTTTTTGCCCTATTTAAACCTATAATTCTACAGTTTTTCACAATTTTGCAAGAGAATTTGCACTCATTCAATATCCACGACGATCAAAGCACGCGCTTCCTTTGCATAACAAATTATAGCATTGAATTATAAAACGTTTTCATGAAGAGAATTCTTAGATAATGCCGGAACTTTTCAGTTAGAAAAATCTGGTCCTTTGTGATATGCAGGGTAATAATTACGGGCTTTTAATGAAAACGATAAAAAAAATTCCCCAAATCACTTTTCGGCCAGCCGGACGGGTTCTCACTTTTCACAGGCACCTGATTTGCAGTGCGACTAATAGAGTTACCATTTACGCCTCAACATGATAGAGAAAATTGTTATGTTTAGGTTTTATTTCCCTTTATTTAGTAAACTGTGTATGGTTTTTGTTATGTGTAATCTTTAAAAGCGAGTGATATTTACGCGCGGAATTTACGCGCGGCGTTTTGAGTATTCCTGCATGCGATGTTTATGTTCGACTGGAAACAACCGGTTCAGCGATAAAAATTGCGAGAGGGACTACTAACAATCAATAAAATAAATATAATCCGGTGAAACATGTACAGAGAAAATAATTTTCATTCACGAAGAGAAGTATTGAGAGTAAAGTGTCTCTGAAAATCATGAGTCAGGTAAGCATAAGCTTATTTATGTTTTAAGCCGGCTCCCGGTGTTTGCTCTTTTTCAAGATGAACTCGAGGCAAGAAAATCGCTCAGAGCTTTTTGTTTACAGCCAAAATCATAACTAAATAATCTTCGGAACCTTTTCTTTGAATTTGCGGCTCTTTAGAAGACCACTTTTTAGTGATAAGGATTCCGTAATTAAATAAAGTTATTACTTACTTACTTACTTACTTAGATCATTGCTCATGTATAAACTTAAGCTGCATAAACCATACACTCGACTTCAGGAAACTGAAAAAAAAAAACATCAAAGACAATAATTGCTCAGGCTTACCAGTCGAGATGCTGCTTCTGAAGGTCATCAAGTGTTCCAGAATCGCTTGAGACTTTTCAACCCTCTTACGCCTCAAGCAAGGGCAGGTGAGTAAGCTCTTTTTTGAAAACGATGCCATCCGAAATCGGATTTCCAATGACTTTGACAAGCGGTGCATTTGTCAACAAAAAACGCAATAAACAAACCAGCCATGAATTACAGAACAATCTTGATAGCAGCTGTATTTCATTTTGTACACCAAGTAGAAAAAGACAGTTTAAAACATCACAAGATGACACAAAACTCTGTCAGCTCCAGCTATCAGTAAGCAAGTTTCCAGACGCTGCATAAATTTTCCGCATGAACTCACCTGTCAAATTTTGACAATCAGAACATAAGAATTGGACGTAGAGCGTGATCAACGCGTGACAGTGAGAAAAGTCAGAAGCGATTGCCTTCCCTGCATGTAAATGTAATAGCCGGTTGAATTTTCGCGTCCGAGGTCAGTTCAAAATCAACATTTTAAAAGTGCTGCTCATGAACACGACTTATTTCATATGCATTTTAAAAAAATTGAACTTGAGCCTGCGATCATTTGAAAGTATCAACTTGTAAGCGGATACCTTCAAACAAACACTTGAACTCGGTGGGTCGATACCTGAGCCCGCGATACGGTCAGGCGATACTGGTTAGCAGAAACAGTATATTGACAGCTGTCAATTAATCAAAACATGAAGGTACAATATCAGGTTGTAGGCTCCCAAACTAGCTAGAAAGTGTGACATTAAACATTGGTATGCCTGTGGTGAGGACGGACGGAAGGTCGGGTAGTCGGTGTACGGTCACGTGATTGCCGAATTTTCTAGGATGGATAGATTTTCTAAGCTATGGGGCTTCGAATTGAGCCCGTGATCAAATAAAATATCAGCGCAAAACTTTAAACACTACGTGACCTCAATGGATAGAAAAATGAGTCCGCAATACACTCAGGTGATGATGGTCAGCGTATACTCTAGTTTGACAGCTGTCAATTAACCTTCATTAGAATGGCTAATTTTTGAATTAACAGACTATGAGTGTGAGTAAGACATTTCCGTCCGGCATGTAGTGGAAAATGCCAGATCGTGTACCTGAGCGAACCTGAGCCCACGTTATTAGTTTTCTGATAGTGGTCTGCACATGTCCCATTTTGACAGCTGTCAATTGACCTTAATTTGGCTTGCCAATATAACTTTAAGTGACTGTCAGCCAACTGACAGCCTTGCCCGGCGTAGTTTTGTTTTTATGTTGAATTGGTAAGTGTGACATATTACATCAGCTTATATGTAGGGCAAAACGACTGGTCTTTCATCTGAGCCCGCGAGATGGTCATGTGATAATTGTCAGCGGATGTCTGATTTTGACAGCTGTCAATCTAAACATACTCATACGGATGGCTTACATAACTAAGAGGCTAGTCAAGTTGTGCAAGATCTATTGTGACATTTGACATCGGCTTACATGAAGTGTGTGTACGGGTGGGCGGGCGTACGCTACGTCATAATCAAATTTTCTCGGTTGGATAGTTTACCAAATTTTCTTACCCATGGTGCTCCGCTGCGCGCGCTTCGCGCGCGAGAGCTCCGCTATTAACATTCTCTTGCTTTCATCGCGTTCAACTTTGGTTGCGGAAAAACATTGGCTAGCGGAAGCTGTCAAGACTTTACACTTAGATATTTCTTTGCTCACTCGGGCATCTGAACGTTCCCATGAAATGAATGATGACTGAATTGACTGTAAATGAAATTCTAAACAAGACTGTGGCAAATTATCATGAAGTTCTCTGGCTGACTGTTTTGTTATGACGGTAATGGTGTTATTGCGGTAGCTATCCTTTGCATACTGCCACAGCTCGTCAGTTAATAACATAACTTCTTCAGAGCACTGAACTTCATTTATACTTTTACACACGACATTGTCAGGAACGTTGCCTTATGCCGGTGAATCCTCGGTTATCACACCCTAAAAGAAGTAAGTAAATTTGTCACTGAACGTTTTTGATTTGTATCCATTCTTTCACTACTTACTGGTAACCGTATCTCGGGCATTATGTTAACACAAGGTTTTCAAGATCAATATAGAATTTAAGCTTATATTTTTACTTTTCAATGAGGCCTCCATGCCTTCATTGCAACATTTTTTGTTCCATCCTCCAGGCTTAGGCCTTAGTGTTTACATTTTCAATAAATTAACAAGGATGATTTTTGTCTCGTATCTGTTCTTGTACTTAAATTCTTGTATAGTTAGTCTTATCTTGTACATTTCGAATTCATTGTCATGGTCGTTTCGAGCTTCATCCTCCATTTTTTCAGGTACATTTCGTCACTGTTCAATTCAATTTTCTCAGTAAAGGGCAGATTCGTATGGTAAAAAAGGAAATGGCAAAAATATTAAATTTAAGCTTTTAATCTTCACAAAGTATATTTTTTTAAAATGAGAAAGTGGGTTTTTTTCTGCCAGTTAAGATCTTATAGTTTAAAAATTTGCTTCAGCATTTCTTACAACTTTTACCTGGAAATATGCCACCAACAAATTCTAGGAAATATGTTTAGCATAGCATTAAAGATGGGCTTCCTGCATACTTGCAGAATATTATTGCATGCCAAGTGTGTACTTAGAAAAGGTAGATTCACTTTTTTTGCTGAATTTCCCTGGAATTTTTGGAATTAATGATTTTATCAGAAATGATTAAAATAATGTCTGACTTTTAAACTAAAAAAATTATGTGATTACCATTTTTTTTTGTCCCATAGTTTCCCTGTTCTTGAGCCTGTCGTTTTCTTTCAGCCTTTGTAGAGGACGACTTTTGTGGAGTGGTTTATATTAACATACATATTAACTCAAACACTTCATTTGCAAATTGCTGCTGGATGACTTGTTTTTGATACTGGTGCTTTGAAATGGGACCATTTCGTCCTCCAGAAAATAGCAAGGAATTCTTTTTATTTTGTTTATGTGCTGTCTCCATGATACCGTCATTAAAATTTGCCAGAGTTATTGGAAGACCAATGATGTCAGAATCTGAAAGGGCCTTCTCCACATAATACGGAAAATAGGTAACAATCTGCTTTAGTGACGCAGTGATGTTTGCAGTTCCAAATATTAGCACTGCTTGGAAGCCAAGCTGGATGCGGGCCTGAACTTCATAATCATCACCTGTCAATTCATGTGGTGTCAGGAGAAGGTTTTTGTACACACCGTCAAGACCTTTGCAAAATGTACAGAGGATTTCTAAAAGAGTTCCCTTAAAACCAGCTGCTTTTAAGATTTCAGGCATTCTTTCTGCAAAGGCTAGAACACCTACTTCATCGAACTTGACTGTTTTGTCATCAAGGTTTACAGACTTGGCCAATCCTTTTTTGAGTGCTAACAAAAATTGCTGATCACTACCAAGAACAGCTATAACAAAATAAATGTGGATTTATGATGAGAAAGGCTACAAAAAGTAAAGAAAGAGTCTCAATTTAGTTTTGGCAAAAGTAACTAGCATCTACATGCCAGAATATTATTTTTTGCTATTTGTTGTCCCACAACTGGACCTGTTAATTAATTAATGAGCTGGGGTATAGAATTTATTCACCAGTAAAATATCAGGCAAGGTTTTTGCACAAACACACCTAAAGATCATTGTTGCTATGGGTACAGAATAAAATTACACCTTTTGCAGCAAAAAAAAAGGAAAGTGAAAGGTTTTGGTATTTCATAGCTGTTCAAATAATACACAAAACATGATATGGCTGCTTGGGGATAAGAAATTCTCTTCTTTTTTGAAAAAAATATTTTCCAACAGTATATACTCCCTTGTTTCTCTACCTGGGCATGTAATAAAAATATCCCCTAATTATGTCTTCCCTTTTCCTCACATGCTAAAAATATGCAAGATGATCTGTGGTTGGCAGTTTCCTCTGATGTTGTGAACTTTTTTGACTCACTTGCTGATCACTTAAAACATTTTGGCAGTTTAAGACGGGTGCCCTTATGTGCCTATAATTTTGTATTTATTTGCTTCAAAGGGTACAACAGTAACAATTATTATTACCTTTTTTTGTTAAATAAGTTCAGACAGAGGATGTTACACTGCAAAAATTATAGTACTTTTGAATCGGACAGCTCAAGAGAGATTAAAAAGAAAATAAAAAATTTACATATATAAGCATATATCAGTTTAAGGTGACTGTTAAGATGTAGCTCTAGCGTTTGCCTGTGTTGCTATGGATACAAACCTTATGCAATCTTGGCAATTTGCAAACATAATGTTTCTGCAGATCGAAAACCAAGATGGGAAGTTCCAGGGTAGTACTCAGAGAGTGGTGTTCCAGAAATATTAGCGAACTCCCTGTGTTTTTCTTTGCTAGGGGCTTTTCCTTTAAGTTCGCTTTGGAATTTAGTCTCTAGAGCTTCTGTGTCTTCAACGGTCCAAACTGGACATGTACATACTAGTTTCATATCTCCCAACTGCCTTTGGTGTTCTGGAGCTTCAGGGATTGGGTAGGAGGATTTTGCAGAAGAATTACCCGTTGAAGACCTCCTTTCCTTACCATCACCATAGCTCCTGCGGACAATTTTAATTTCCTTCCCACTTAATGGATGTTTAATTGTTTTCAGTTCTTTCAGCTGATCAAAAACTGCCCCTGCACATTTTTTCACTGTGTCATAATCATCACCTCCCAACCACAAAGCAACCGTCAACACTGTGCTCAGTAAATTATAGGGCTCAATAATCTTCACTCGGACACTGGTCTCTCCAGTGAAATGGCGAGACCATTTCAGCCAGGGGAAACCATCAGTGTTTTCCATAATAATAATAGTGTCATTTGGTGCTGTTATAGCACTTTGCACACCTGCTTGACTAAGAAAAAGTGTTATGTATTTTTCAACAACAACATAGCCCACAACTACCTCGCCAAATTCGTTAAATTTCAGCCCAACCTTTTCAAGTAATTCTTGACGTGTATCATTGAGTTTACCGAAAATTTCATCCTTGCTGAGAATAGGGTTGATTCTTAGGACTTTTTCCAGCTTTTTCCCCAACTTGTTTCTCAAAACGTCCTGGGTGTCTTTTAGGCTAATGCCAAATTCGCCAACAATACCACAAGAAAAATCTTTGAAGGCAGAATAATAGGTTTTAAAAACCAATGGCACGAGGAATCCTCGAAAAAGGGATCCATTGTCTTGCTCCAACAACAACTCACAACAATTACTTTTGTTGTCGAGAACAAAGTCAATAAATTTCTGCTTCGGGCTTTGCAAGGTAAAAGGTAAGGATGTTCTTGAGTAAAAGAAAGTTACAAGTTCCGGAAAACGGAGACAAATTTGCTCTCTAAAAGTGACCAACTTCTGAAATACATCCCCAGAGGAGGAGCTTCCTTGTAAAAAAAAGTCAACAGGCGGCACAACTTTGGTGACTCTGGGAAGAGCGAATTCTGAAATTTCTTCATCAGCCAAATGTGACATCAGCTCACGAACTCTTTGTCTCCTCGAATAAGGCTGTTCTTCGCTTAAAAACGTCTCGCTTATCTCCTTTATTGAAATTCGCTTGTGTGAATTTTTTAGAGACTCCGGTTTATGTGTCGGATACAGCCGAAAGTGCTCGTTTAAACTTTTTTTGGTTTTATAAAATTTTTCGCAGTTCGGAGATGGACAATGCAAGCGGATGAAAGTCTCAAGTTGAACGACATTTTCTTTTTCCTGTAGTACAAAAGCCATGCTCGGGCTGTACTGTATTTGCAAATTAGCGACCAAACATCAAAAGGGTTTTTAAATGGCGTAGTTTGTAACATTGCTTTGAAAAAGCCCGCCAAAAATGTGCCACCCGCGACAAAGTGGATGAGTTGAGCGAGCGTTTGATCGAACTCAACTTTCCTCGTGCTCGCTAACACAATCAGAATATAAAAAAAATCTGACTAAACAGCGACACACAAGAAACAACGATGAACACGATATCTTTAATACTACCTCCACATACAATAAATACCGTTAATAGAACATAACAGTACAAAACAAGGTGAGAAATTATCTTCATGCTTACAAGTTGGAATCCATGATTCGAAATTGCACTTTTCACACATCGCTTTCTTTTGAGTTTAAAACCAACCTGCTGCCCCACGAGACTCATATAAGTACTTCCTATATTTCTGGTACCATTTAGAGTTCTACACGCGGTATAAGTTTGGAAAGAACCCAAAATTCATCGATGAACGGTACTTGCACCACATTTGACCGACATGGTGGACAAAAACAAAACTTGCGAATGCGCGCGTGCTGTTTCATGGGATACGGCATTAAAATTTTCTCCCCAGCACTCCGCAATGACGTCACCAGATCGCCTGGTACCTATGGTGCTCCGCTGCGCGCGCTTCGAGAGCTCCGCTAATATTGGAAGTAGAATACTTTACAAAAAGTATGATCTATCAAATGTTAAATTTGTTCAAAAGAATGGTTTATTTCAACCCGAGATGATCCTAAGACCATTCTTTTGCGTTAAAGATGCAAAAAATACAGGTTTATTAATATTAGACTCTTTGAAACAAAAGAAATTAATTTTCAACTTTGTTGTTAACCGTAACTGAGAAAAATTAACCGATAGCCGTAAAAGAGCCAAAATTTTAGCCAATAACCGTAAATGCTACCAACCCCTTGAGACCCTCTTGTAGGAGTGTCATTTGTAATAATGATTCCGACTTCTTGTTATGGTCATTTTTACTAAAGTAAATCTATCATCTGGCATAGTTTGTCGATAGTTTATTGGGTCATTTAGAAAACAGTTCTTGAAGCCTTTTGGACTTGACCAACTGGAAGCATTTTTACTTCCGAGTTCAGAATTAAATGGTCACCTGACACGATTCTCAGTTGCTCGTTTTCAGGATTTTTTCTTTTTATATTTTTCGATGGACAATTTCGCCTTGTTAGCTTTTCAGATAGCAATACCTATTTAGATACCGAAATTTCTATCATTTCCTTGCGCTTTGGTGGGCTAGAAATAACTTTGGTGTGATTTTCTCCTCTGTTTACGCGGTTTTGCTTTGTTTACATTTCACGTTCTTGTCGCTTACGGTGGCCCGAGGGGTTATATTTAAAATTTTATTTTATATCAAGCCATTTTTTCGGTAAGAATGGCGCTGAAAACCTTGCAATGCGTGACCAAGGGCTCTGCGTGGCGGCGCGCTTGTTTGCTGAGGAGATAAACACAGAGTCGGATTTGGTTGGAGAAAATTTGGCCACCAAAGGTGACGAACTTTATTTTCAAGATCTGCCAATATATAATAAACTAAATATCTCTTCAGCAAAGGTGGGGGGAAAAACCGCCAAAGAGCCACAGAGTGTGGCACCCCCACCAAGACGCCAGCAGAGCCCGTGGGCAAGTAGGTCGGGAAGTTGCAGCCCTTGAGTGACCAACTTCACCAACCGACTAGAGAGCTATTAAAGCTTAAAACATGAATCCTTTATATTGCTTTAAGAGATGATGCAGCCCCCGCCTGACCATCACTCTTTTTTTTTGTTTTTTTGTTTTTGTTTTTGTTTTTTTTGGATACAGCGAAACAGACTCTGCAATGAAGAAACGCACTGCAGAGTCCTTGTATGCGATGATGCAGCCCCTGTCTGACCATCATCGCATACACACGCGGCATTGTAAAATGTTACGATTTTATAAAGTACTACAAACACGTCATGCTGCAGCCCTTGCGTGACCACCAATTAGATAGAAGAGCCCCTGAGTGGAGCGAAAAGTTCTACATATGACAGACAAGACGCATGGCAACCCATGTCTGACCCATGCGAAGTTAAATTCCTTGTAATGTAGAATTACGAATGTAAAGTTTAAGGGCATCAGACTTCCATCGGCCAAGAGCGCGAATCTGGGCGTCAGAAAAACCTTTGCCTGCTACGAGACAAGCCGCGCCGATGCGAAAGCTGTGACTCTTATAGCGCTGAGCATTCAAACCACAGAAATTTAAGCAGCGCCTAAGTTCGGTGTTAAATTGATTAACCGTAATGGGTGTATTGTCTGCATGGCAGAAGAAGGGACCGGGCTTGTTACCCCGAAGATTGCAATACCGGAGTATGAACTTCGCAGGACAAAACGGTGAAGATTCATCACTAGGAATAACAATGTCAAACGGGCGATTGCTTGTATTATGTTTGAAATGGGTGATTGTGATCTTAATAGAGTGGATTTTCCCACCGGATGCGAGGAATCGGATGTCATCGTACGAAATTACGGTAGTGTGACACGCGCTCCTGGCCGCTAGTTCACCGATGCGAAAGAAACCATAGAAAGCTGTGAGAAACATGGCTGAAAAAAGTATTCGCTGTGCTGCCGAAGAGTTGGTGTGCTGGAGAGAGCTTACGAGGTCATGCAAGATAGGTTTAGATATTGGTAACCTGACATCACACGATTTCTGACGACTGAGCGAGGTCAAAAGTTTTTGAATAAGGAAAGCCTTGGTGGGGTCATGCAAACGTTTCATCTTGTGGACGTAACCAATGGCCGATAGATAAGATAGAATAGTCGAAGGCGAAACATTTCTACCGTCGAGAAAAGAAATAAAGAGCGCCAAAGACGCGGTGGTTAACGGTAAATGGAAGGCTTTTGTCTTGTAAAATTTCTCGTGAAATTCACGAAATAGTGTCCACGCTCTACGGTAGGACTGACCCGAACCTGACGCCAATACAGAGCTCAAGAGACTCTCTAAGTTAGCGACCAACTCTTCGGCAAAAGAATCTCGGGCACTATTGTTGGCAATTCGTCTGCTTGGGGTGAAAGTTCCTTGAACCGTGCTATCTGAAATCGTGAAAGACAATCGGCCCGGGTATTATTAAGACCTGGTATATATCGAGCACGAAAGATAATGTTATAATTGAGAGCAGTTAGAACCAAGTCACGGATCAATATCATAACTAATTTGTGTTTGGAAGTCTGTTGATCGATAATACTGACCAGCGCAGCGTTATCAGTAACAAACACGATACATCGGTTAGCCATCTGAGAACCCCAAATACGCACTGAGAGGGCAATAGGAAATAGTTCGAGAAAGGTAATATTGAAGGATTGCCACTGATCTGTAAAAGAGCCGAAGAACCAGTGAGGGCCAAAGATATTACCATAGCCCTTTGATCCGGCCGCATCGGTATACAATTCGAGAGGAGGAGATGTGTTCCACTTATCATCCAAGAAAAAGGAACGGCCATTAAATTCCCTCAGAAATTTTAGCCATACCTCCATATCGTGTTTGGTTTCTTTAGTGAGCCTAATGCGATGATGTGGGCGTCTCCCCCCAATAGTGAGATCAATTAGGCGGCGAAGAGAAGCACGCCCAGGTACGATTACAGAACACGTAAAATTTAATAGACCTATTAGGGACTATTAGGGTCGCAAAGTAACTTTACGACGTTTGCAAAAGGATTCAAGTAATAGGCGGCATTTTTGAAGCTTATCTTCCGGCAAAAGAGCTCCCTGATTAATTGAATCGAGTGTGATACCCGCAAATTGTATGACTTGAGATGGTCCACAAGTTTTTTCCTGAGCAATGGGCACGCCGAGATAATCACACATACGAAATTGCTTAAATCGGTGCGACATTGCTCTTCGGTACGCGCAATAAAAAGAAAGTCGTCAAGAATGTGAAGAACTCCGGATGCGCCAAATCGATGCACAGAGATCCACTCCAAGGAAGAACTAAAAGCTTTAAAAATTTGAAACGAGGATGACAGTCCCATAGGAAGACATACGTCAAAGAAAAACTGATTATCCCATTTCATGCCTAGCAAAGGAAAATCGGACGGATGAATTGGAATAATCCTGAAAGCCGATTTAATATCGGTTTTGGCCAAAAAGCAACCAGCCCCTAAACTTTTAAGTACCGCGATGGCATCAGAAATAGAAGCGTAGTGAACCGAAGAATGTGCGTCCGGTATGTTATCGTTTACTGAGGTGCCCTGAGAGTACGATAGGTGTTGAATTAAACGGAAATCAGAGCGGTCTTTTTGGGAACAATGCCTAAAGGAGAACAAACAAAGTTTGGAAAAGGAGGGCAAATAAAAGGACCACATATCCTCCCGGCCTCACACTCTTTACGTAGTTTGGTCCGAACGATTTGCGGTTTGTCCAAAGCGCTTTTAAGGTTGGGTGAGTGCAACGCCCAGCGTTCCCCATCAAAACCAGCGCGAAAACCAAAAGTAAACCCATTAACTAAATAAAGGCGGAGAGAAGTTTCGTATCCGCTAAGAAGGAAATTAAGCCGATCCACCTTTACGGGTGCTACTGGCTTGTGCAGCGACGGTTGAAAAGCCTGCTTTGACGGGGTGTGTTTTAGGTTGGCTGGAGGAACACTGTGCGGCAGGGTGTTTGGAGCCACACTTATAGCAAATGTGTTCGAAACGGCACCCGTTGCACACCTTCCCCGCGTGGAAACGCCAGCATGTGCCTCTTGGAAAGGACTGGGAGCGGGAGCGCAGTGGTCCCTTGTCCGAGGAAAATTGGGTTTTCGGACGAAAATTTGTCACAGCCTTTAGCCAAAGTTCCCAGTGAATAGCGTCCCATGGGTATTGTGCAGGGGCTTATTGCCTTATGAAACGAAATTGTTCGTCATAATACAACCAGTCACCTGGTTTTGCGGCGGTATCGCGGACAATTTCACAATATTTCATCAGCTTGGGTGTGTCCGTGGGTAGTTTTTCCGAATAGATCGCAACAAAAATATTAAATGCAGAGAGCCACTGGTTGATAGTTTGGATCTTTTTAACTGGTTGGTTAGGTTCTAAAGTTAAGTGAGGGCGGGTGGTCTCACCATCCGAAGAGGCGAGAGACAGAGAATACTTTTGATTATTGGGAGAAAACGAGAGGAGAGTTCCAAAATCAAGATATTGGTTGGACCAGATTTTGGCCTTGACTTTGGAACTCACCCGACTACTAAGAGAAACAGCCACGCTAGAAAAAATTTGTTTCGGAGCCGGCGAGTCTAACCCAGGCTCATCTAAGGTGACAACGTTTTCGGTACGTGATGGAGTACCTTGGGTGATCTCGGCCAAGGATGTGTTCACGATATTGGCCACTGACTGGTCCGTGGAGGACTGTGTCTCCTGGCTCGGTGCGGCTGGCCATTGCGCTTTCATTGCCTCCGTGACGGCTAGCTGTACTGCGCTAGCAATGGAGGCCGAGAGGGCCTGCATATTGACGGCCATCAGAGGCTGCTCTGTTGAAGTTACAGCTTGTTGATCACTCGGTCCAGGGCTGGATGCGATCGGGTCTGTTACACGTGCCCGCTTTGCAGAACTTCGCGTGCGTGTTTGAGACGTTCGCTTCGGCTTAGGAGGCATAACTTAGATAAGTAAAAGTAATTAGATTAAGATAAGGCTGAATGCCATATTTTTCCGCTAAGATAAGATAAGATATCAAAACGGTATGAGTCAAAGAGGAGCAAATTATTAAAGGTGTGAGCCGGGATGTTTATTGTTCCTTTGAGTTTTGTTTTTTGTTTGTTTGTTTGATTTTTGTTTAACAATCGGTAATGTGGCTAAGCTACGCACACATAATGGTGACGAATAACTGAACTCTGCTGAAAACCAAATGGCGAGCCATGTAGCGAGAATTGAGTGACATAAATGCCTGGTAAAAGAATATCAAAGTGCATTGAAGACACACCCAAATAAGGGCGGTCGAATAGGATTGCACACTCATAATATTCACCAGGACACAAAGTATGGATAAGGCCAACGCCAGCAAATACAATCTGTTATGCACGAAAGGCAAACAACAGTTCTGTAGAACTGTAAGAACAATAAGTGCAGCCAAAATAGAATGCGCCCAAATAAATAAAGGAGGCAAGTCTTTAACATAAACGGCTGTCACGAAAACAAAGGCATGGCGAGGCAAGTACGTAAACTTTAAAAGGTTCGACTGGGAAATGGAATGAAACGTTGAAACTTCAACAAGACGAAATTGTGCTGAACAGGCTCAAGGACCCTAGGATTGCTCCCCTAAGACTACGATGGTATTTTACCTGACCCGGGGAATTGAGATGCACACCATCACGTGCGTAAAAGTTCTGAGTCGGGCGCCAAAACCCCCTATGGCCCCAAAAGATAGCATAAGGTATAGGCTCTAAAACTACCCGAAGGTATTTCGTTAACAGCTTGGCCTTACGATTAAATACCACTGCGCCCTGGCGCATGATGGTCTGGCACACGCAGACAACCTTAACATCATAGGTGTCATGCAAGAGCCTAACAAAATCTTCAATAGCTGAGCCAACATGTAAAGGGTCAGAGTCTGTTAAATCATTGTAACCCAACTGCATGATAACTATCTCCGGTCGAAAGGACTCGATAACATTTAAGTCAAGATGTAGCGTTTTGGAAACCGTACGGCCACCGACTGCGTGCCATTTTATAAGGGCACGGTGACATAACTTGAAATCGACGCTAAAATGGTAAGAATCACGGGACAGGAAAAGGCGCAAACGGCGAATAAAAGAATCGCCCAGAACTAAAACACGGGGCTCAGCCATTGAATAACAGGAAAGATAAAAGGAAAAGAGGGTACTTGCCTGAAAAATGCTGAAAATTGGTTCAAACCAGCGATGTGAACAACGTGATGGTGAGCGATCGAAAGGGGGCGAGCACATGGAAAAGCGCCCCTAAGAATGATAAAGTCCGGAACGCCCTAAATTCTGATTGGCTGGAAATAAGATAGGCTTGGAACCTGCCGCCTTGGCCTGCAAACCATTATCAAATGCCTTGTCATAAAATCCCATTATGATGTCGTCATAACGGTGTATTTTTTCGCAAGCGTTTAAATTCGCAGAGCTGAAACTTCAGGTCTAGTTAAAAGAATCACAGTTCTTTCATATAGTATAATCATATTTTAAATTTGAGACATACCAGAATCGACTTTTTACGGTTAAAGTTGGGCGTTATTTCGACAGCCAAAACAGCACACAATCAAGGTGCAAACAATGACAGCCCAAAACTATATTACAAAAGTTATTTTGCGAGACATTTTTATGCAGTCTTAAAGCTTTGGCTAACTGGTAAATGCATGTGCAACATCAAGCCAATAGGAGCTTTTGCGCGCTTGTACTGCTTTCTTGAAAATTGTTGAAATTTGCGGCAATTTCAAGAATAAAAAAATGTATTTTTATCGAATTTTTGAACTTTACCAAATTTCTCAAAATGTAAAGCGCTTGAGGCTTGCTTAATATAATTTCTTGAAATAGTTCACCTAAAGGGTTGTTTGGGTGGTATTAGCCAAAATTCGAATTTATAGAACTGATTTGAGACTCTCGATATTTTCGGACATTGGCTCTCAAGAAGCTTACGGCGATGAAATCCTCGACTTCTTCTATTGACTTTGGGAGTGGCGCTAAAGCCAAAATCTCCAATAAATTCTTAAATTCTTTTGTCGTTATACTTTCCAAAATGCATATGGACATAATTCCGAGCGTAGCGACTTTATGATCTCGTCGCGCGCGAAGCGTGCGCGTAGTCTACTAACCGCGCGTGGTCTTAGCCAGCCACAAAATTCGATGCGCCATAAATAAATCTTTCTATGAATATATGCTTGGCGTCCGCCAATGACGTCATGGAGCATTTTGCGTTTACAGGCAACATAGACTTTGCCGCTGACGACCAAGGCGCATTTTCATGTATTATTCATGAAAGGCTGTTGTGTCTATTCATCATCTGTAAAACAATGTTTACCATCGGTGAATCACGAACAATTTCACATGCAAATGACACACAAGCACAACAAGTGGCTCCAAATCCTCGTCGAGGAAGATTTTCTACCGAAATTCCTCTGGAGCAAGAACGCCGACTTAAAATTCAGCATGAAAAACGGAGGAGAAGACGTCAACAAGAAACCGCGGAGCACAGAGAACGTCGCTTAGCACGGCGAAGGCAAGGCCGACAACAAGAGACAGAGGAACGGGGGAACAGGAAACCGGAATATCAGAGGCATTATGATCGTTTTACTTTGTGGAAAACCCACATTTATTAGTTTGGCGGTTTCGAGCATCCTTTTACCACATTGATTGCTGGAATGACCGGATCCGGAAAAACGGCTGGGGTTCGATCTCTATTCCACCAAGCTTTAGAGACAATTTACCTTCCCCCGGAGAGAATGATTTGGTGTTATTCACAATGGCAGCCTGCGTATACAAAATTATGCTAGTCACCATGCCACACATTGAATTCGTCAAGGGAATTCTTACCGCTTTGGGGCATGATTCCTATTTTGATGTGAACAAACGGAATTTGATCGTGTTTGATGATCAATGATTGGCACCAGTAAAGACAAGCGAACTGTGAACCTCTTTACTCTTGGATCTCATCATCGCAGTCTCAGCGTGATTTATATCGTACAGAATCTGTCCCATTAGGGGAAAGGCAGTCACAGCATAAGCCTAAACAGGAGTACCCGACGGAGCCGCTCGACAAAATACCCGCTCGTCAGGCAGAATTTGAGCTAGCTGGAAAAAAAAAACATTGGCTAGTTAGCTGGCTGGGAAATCTGAATGAGCGCCTTGCTAGCTGAAAATATGAAAAATCTATGCCGGTTCTGGCTGGATAAAAAGGTATATTTTTTCTCCTGGCAATCGCACTGTAATTTTTTATATGGATATTAGAGCGGGCGAAGCAAGTAAGTGCGCGTGGAAATCACCCCACGCGAGCTGTGGAAATGACACCTTTTGCCTGTGAAAACGGAAATTTGTTTGGGTGTGTAAGCAAAACGTCCTGCTGTGAATACCTTGTAAAAGATACACGTAGTGAGAAAATGACACAGTTGAGTCAAGCACCGCTCACCGCTTTGTTTGTAGTCGTTTCGCTGTCGATCCTTTATAGAAAACACTTTTGTGTGTTCGTGTTTTAATATGCCTGTCTACATATCAGCTACTGGCCTACGTTCTACTTTAAACCTGATGTTAAGGCGGCCAAAAGGTAAGCAAAATGGTTGTGTTTCTTTGTCAGGT